TCCCAGTGATCGACCCAATGGCTCTAAATTGATCCAAATGATTGAACAATGTATTCGAGTTGAAGGTAATCCACTTTTGTTTTTGTTCTTTTTTGACCAGGTGTATGCATGCACCGAACTCAAACCGTTTGGGTTTGGTGAATTTGGGTATTGAGTTTGGGTTTGGGTAGGGTTTGGGTAGGGTTTGGGTATGAGTTTGGGTTTAAATTTGATTATGGCCCATGAATCTAAGCTTTTGATATACGACTGATGATCAAACTCAAACTCATACCCAAACTCAAATCCAAACCCAAACTGAAAGGGTGTGGGGTCTGGGTGTGGATGTGGGTGGGTGTGGACGGGTGGGTGTGGGTGGGTGTGGATGGGTGTGGGTGTGGGTGGGTGTGGGTAGGTGGGTGTGTGGGGGTGGGTGTGAATGGGTGTGGGTAGGTGAGTGTGGGTGTGGGTGTGGGTGTGGGTGTGGGGTGTGAATTAGTACTAATGAAACACACCCACACCCACACCCTCAAAAAAATTCATTTTATGAATATTCGAATATTTTTACGAATCCAATAGATATCCAAATTTTGAGTATTTGGACTTTTCATCAAAAACCAAATTAAAATTAAAATTATGAATATTTGAATTCTCTCCATTCAACTGCCCCACTGCTCGGATTATATCATTAAATAAAATATTATGAATATTGGAATATTTTTGAGAACCCAATAGATACTCAAATTTTGAATATTTGAATTCTCTCCATTTCAACCGCCTCATCATTAGGTAGCTATAGTAAATCATTAAGTAGCTGTAGAATTGATTAAGTAGCTATAGGAATTCATTAAGTAGCTACAGAATCATTAGGTAACTGTAGAAAAGCATTAAGTAGTTACAGAAATTCATTAAATTGCTATAGGAAATCATTAAGTAGCTGTGGAATTCATTAAGTAACTACAAAAATTCATTAAGTAGCTATAGGAAATCATTAAGTAGCTATAGAATTCATTAAGTAGCTATAGAATCATTTGGTAACTATAGAAAATCATTAAGTAGCTGTAGGTATCATTAAGTAGCTATAGAAATTCATTAAGTGGCTATGGAATTCATTCAGTAGCTGTAATTAACAAAATATACAAAAGTATTATTAAAAAGTATCTCTTTTGAGAATGAGCCAAATGCATTAACTATATTAAGTGGCATGAGTGTTATTAAAACAGAGTGCTAACTGTATACTAAAATTGATAATATAATTTAAAAAAATAAAAAGCTGATTATTTGCGAATGTATCTTGGCTTTTCGGTTCAAAATAAAAATAGGAAACATTTCTATTTCAAACGCAGAAATAATTGTATTAGTATAATGAGGCTAAAGAAGACATAGTAGTTCCACATGCCAACCACAAAGGGACTGCGCTAACAAGCCTTTTTCAAGCATTAAAATTGTCCACCTTACTCAACTTGTGATCACTATAATAATAAACTTTTTATTATGTTCTAACAAATTATTGCAGTGATCATGGAGTGCCATCTTGTAGAAATTCTTTTTATAAAAGAAATATACTTTTAATAATACCATTTTCAATTAGGCAGGGTCGGACCATCAAAAAGTGATCCGATTTTGAGGCCTGTTCTGTACTTTACTTAATTATCGGGTAAGAGAAAATCCAAATTTTGTTTTGTCGCATCACGATAAATTATAGTAGCACTATATAAAGTGATCGATCGATAGCTAATCGTTTAATTTCTATTCTTGAAATTTAGTCTATTTGATGGCTTAAATCAACGAGAAAAGAAATCAATTGACAGAAAGTTTATAAATTCAACGAGCATCAAACGAAGATCATTAAAATCAATGAGATCAGACGACCAATATACACTTAGAAGAGAATACTTTTAATGATATTGTTTATACTAATGCAACATTTTCTGATGGTAACGTTACAAAAACTATCAAGAAATAATTTGCGATTAGAAAAATGCTGTCTACTTTTTTTGTTGCATTTAGTGTTCCTTTGAAGTAGATATTTCTTTTTTCTTCATTAGAAACTAGCAGGACTTCGTTCTCGTTGTTGCATTCATCTACAAATTATTGAGTATTGTACTCATCTAAGTCCTTGTTAAGAGAGTACATTATTAGTAAAAATATTTAAATAACTTTATCAAAGGACCCCGCCAGATTTTGAGACCTAGTTAGAACAAAAACGTCCTGTATATAGTTTTGTAGAGAATTTGAAGGCGCATCGAAAGGTATATAGAAAGTCTAATTTTCATTGAGCCTTTATGGCCTAAGGACCCATATACTGGTCATAATTCTATAGAACATAGAAATAATGGAGCTATTATGATACTCGGTAATAAATCTAGATGTATTTCCTTTTTTAAACATAATTCAATACAGTTATGAATACTCTTCAATTTTTTATAATCGATAAGTTTCAATGGAATTATGTTATATCTACTAGGGACCACTTCCATAGGTATAGGCTACTTATTGAGAAAATGGCATTTCAGTGTGTCCAGTCCTGTGCCACAGGACAATTGAGTACCAACGTGGGACTTTCTCAAAATACGGCACACCATTACCTTCTACTTATTTCATAAATCAAATTTTTTGAAACAGTTCGGCTCGACTAGTGATGTATACGATGGTAGTGCGAAATACCCTATTTTTGCTAATCATGGTCCAGGTATCTTAACAAAACCTTAGTAATATTCAGTACTCCTGCCACCAATTTTTGTGTATAAATAATCAGTAAAGTATGCTTCATCGTTTAATATAAATAAGGTCTTTGTAGAATGAAAAAATATTTTTGACCCCCAGACCCCTGGACGGGAGTACAGGAATAAGGTTCCAGAGCATGGTCCTCTTTTCCTTTTTAATTCTTTGATCGATTTCATTCCCAATCATACAGATGTTATGTATGGGTGAAACAGTAAAAGAATATATATAGAGCTTGCGTTCAATGTAAAAACAATTTTTTCCGTATTCCGTACCCCCTCCAGGGGTCTGGGGGTCAAAAATATTTTTTCAATCTACAAAGACCTTATTTATATTAAACGATGAAGCATACTTTACTGATTATTTATACACAAAAGTTGTTACCAGGAGTACTGAATATTGCTAAAATTTTGTTAAGATACCTGGACCATGACTAGCAAAAATAGGGTGTTTCACACCACCATCGTATACGTTACTAGTCGGGCCGTACTGTTCCGAAAAATTTGATTTATGAAATAAGTAGAGGGTAATGGTGTGCAGTTTTTGAGAAAGTTTCACGTTGGTACTCAATTGTCCTGTGGCACAGGATTGAGCACACTGGAATGTTATTTTCTCAATAAGTAACCTATACCTATGGAAGTGGTTCCTAGTAGGTATAACACAATTCCATTGAAACTTATCGATTATAAAAAATTGAAGAGTATTCATAGCTGTATTGAATTATGTTTAAAAAAGGAAATACACCTAGATTTATTACCGAGTATCATAATAGCTCCATTATTTCTATGTTCTATAGAATTATGACCAGTATATGGGTCCTTAGGCCATAAAGGCTCAATGAAAATTAGACTTCCTATATACCATTCGATGCGCCTTCAAATTCTCTACAAAACTATATACATGACGTTTTTCTTCTAACTAGGTCACAAAATCCGGCGGAGTCCTTTATGGTTTGTAGACGACAAAATCCTTCAACAAGATGTCAAAAGACAACAATAGCAAGAATAACTATGTTTTTTATCCTTTGAATGGCAAATAGACTCTCGCTTGCCACCATAGATTTTCTTGAGTAGATAGTAATGCTAACTATAACTTTATGAGTGCTTAAAAGCACAGCTGGAAAAATATTATTGAAAAAAAGCATCATCAGGCTGAAGTTCTATGAAGTTTCATTATGGCACTGTAAACAATGTGTGAAAGTTGCTCTTCTTATTTTTCTTAAACGAGAAAAAAAAATGAAAATATGGCTCATCCGCCATACTCATCTGGATTGTCCTTTCAGATCTTTAGTTATTCATTTATCTTTAAAATAGAATGTATACAAATATAGATGAAAATATTTCAACCACTTAATAGCTGAGATACTCAATGGTGGACATACTATTCAATATAAAAAGAAATTTTAGCATCGGGCTGAAACGATGAAACTTCATATGAAACAACACAACATCTATCCTGAACTTTTGCAATAAACAGATAATTGGAATGTCTTTTTCTATGAATAATTTTTTAAAAGTGATAGAACTTTTTGATTGACCTAAGTAAGTGTTCACAACAACGATGGATATTCATGTTAAGAAGAAATAGAGACATTTTTGCGTCGATGATGCTTCAAAACTTTATCTGTTTAGGCTAAAAATGAAAAAACTTCACTATGAAGATTTTTAAAAAATCGAATGATTATATGTATTTTCTGACGTTGGTCATAATCAGTAAAGATAGAAATCGATTCTTTTCCACTGAAAGCTTTCAACTTCATTAGAAACAAAAGAAAAATAGAAAACTTCATTATATGCACATAAGATATTTTTGTCTATGAAAAAAAATAAATGCTATTCCACTGGCATCTTCAGATTACTAAGTTGGAATTCAAATGTTTATTTAAATCTATATTATTTTTGAAAGAAAAAATATTTCGAGCCTATAAAGTTCAGTGATGTATAGAGATGTCGTTTGCTTGATAGTTTACCATTTTAAGGTTGACTTTGATTATCTTAGATATTAACTCTATCTGTTTATCAAAGTAAACTAAGATCATTGCGGCGTGACGCTGATGACATGTTAGCACATATCTGAGACTTTGTTTTTTTTTATTTTAAAAAATGGATATGCATAGCGTTCAGGATACATTTTTCTTTAGTCACTTCAATAGAAAAAAAATGATTATTCCTCTTTCTACTTCTTTTAATGATATTCCTGCTATTCTCTCTTTTACATGTATTCATTCTTATTCGATTGTATTTAGAGAAGACTTGTCTAACTTAATTGTTCACTGTAGTCTTTACCCCGACTAATTATTCATGTACAATTCAGTATGTGTAATTGATCTTTTAGTTGAAAGTATGCAGCATCATAATGAGATATTCAAATATTAAGATATCAATATTTGTTTGATTTTCTTTCAGTCAAAGCATTTAATAGAAAAAATTTCAATAAAAGTATTTGTATTGAATGAAAATAATGAAGATAGTTCAATTTTCTACGAATCGTAAAAGAAATTTGTGTCACCATCAGCAGATCAATGAACTATAAAAGGAATGTCTTCATTCTCGATGAAAATTGATAGTAATATTCATAGAAACATGTCGCTTAAGAAAATTCATAATCGACTTAAACAATATAATTATTCTTAGACTATCGAGCACATCGTTGTCATTTGCAATAAAATTCTATCGTTCGATTTCAATATTTGGCAGCTGATCTGCGTCATCAGTAGGGAAGCAGAAGAGAGAAGAAATCTTCAAACTTGGGGAAAAAATGATCATATTACATTGAAATATATCTACAGGGTGATTGAAAAGTAACTTCCTATTTTAAATTCTTTATTACTTTCGATCAACAAAAGATACCGTTCGGATTTTTTCACCATTTTGAAGTATGGACTATGGCATTTTGTTGTAGATGAAAAAAACCAATTGATCATTTGACTATCTAAGATCAAGCACGAATTTTGTCTAGAAAATGTCTGAAATTAAGTCATTATTTTGAGTAGGTTATTATTCTTATACGAGAACAGATACTATAACAACTTTTGGTTTTACTGAGGATGGATAACAGAGGAATTTAGGTAAAAATTCGAGACATTATATGCTATAGTACTATGCACACTTCAAAGCAGTAAAATCGTTGTTATAGTATTTGTTTTCTTATAAGAACAATAACCTACTCAAAATAATGAGTCATTTTCACGCATTCTCCAGATCAACTTCGTGCTTGATCTTAGATAGTCAAACGATCAATCGGTTTGTTTCATCTACAACAAAATTTCATGGTCTATGCTTCAAAATGGCGAAAAAATCCGGACAATATCTTTTGCTGTTTGAGAGTAACAAAGAATTTAAAATATGGAGCTACTTTTCAATCACCCTGTAATGAGAAAAAAATGTTTTCTTTTGATCATCAGCCGTCATGGTTGAATAGTTACGTTCTTCTATGCGCATCCACAACAAGGGGAAAAGTGCAGATTTGGATCTTCCAGAACCTCCGCACCTTTGGGCACTGCCGATGCTGAAGTGTGCTCATACATATTTAGAATTCGACTGGAAATTAAGATGATAGCTATGAATGAGAGTCATACTATTTCAATTCGATTTTTTTCAATGAAGACAAGACTGTTTCGAGAAAATAACGGTTTTTTATAAAATTTGACTAAAGGTGTTCGGGATTGAGGAATCCGAATCTCCAATCGGTTTTTTGAAATTCTTGAGTTCGATTCTTTCGATTAGGGAAGGTCGAATTCAAAATAAAAAGCTGAATGTTATAAAACGTGAATAAACCGCAGGAAATAGGCTTCGTTGACTGAAAAAATCGAAATCAAGAATTTCGAAAAACCGCTTTGAGATTCGGATTCCTCGACCCCCAAAGTATTTAGTCAACTCTTATAAAAAAATCGTTCTTTTTTTGAGATAGTCTTCATTGAAAAATCGAGTCGGAATGATATGAGTCTCACTCGTAGCTATAATACTAATTTCTATCTTATTTTTCAAAACTCTATGAGCAACGCAGCATCTTTCAGTATTATTAGGTGCACGGTGCCTGCACTTATCCTCTTGATCCACAAGGTATCATGTTCAAAGCTAGATGCCATCAGTCATAGAGTCACTCTAGAGAATTCACTAGCTGCTATTTGTCTTGGATCGTCCGTCCGACAGCATGCTGACTACGTTGTGGTATTCAACATAACTCTAGTAGCTGGTCAGTATGTATAGAGAGAGCTCAAGCAATTGAATGGAAGAATCCTGAGTGAGATCGATTTTCTGTCCAGGATTGCAACTAGTCCTAGTTGTATAAAAGATATCCGGCTTATGAGCCGGTCTCCTCACAACATCTATGACTGCAACATAGTCGAAATGCAAGGAGATTCTACTTTGTTCCCTTGGAATACGAAAATAAATAGCGAAGGGAAAACTTTAGACTTCTCAGGAGCATGAGTCGTTTTTTGCAAGTACAATCGAGATAAAAGGAATCGCGGGATGAAATTGTTTTGTTTTCTCGACCTCATATTGGATTGATTGTGGCATAGCCACTGAATAGAAGCAACGATTTTCATAGTGTCATTATGAACTCATTTAAATGATAATAATATTGTTTTTTTTTCATTCAGACGTACCGAAGCCGTCTCCACCCAAACCATCTCCAGTTGTACCGAAACCAATACCAGCACCACCGACACCAGGTATGTTATGTTGTTTGACATGCGACAGTATTCTCCGTTGAAAAAATGACTTCGTTGGTCCTTTCGCTCATGTTCTATTCGATGATGCCCCATTTCGTTCTGTCATGTACTGTTTGACGTCACAGTAAAGAAGTTCACGCCCTCAAAACGATGAAGAAACTATTATAAGTAACATTTCATCTTAAACTTTTTCTGCTATCAGATGTAGTGTTGAATATTCAGCCATATTCACTATTGTTTGACATTTTTTCTGAACAATACCGTAGTCAAAGAATTTTTGAGAATGATGAAGGATCATACCTAGATGTACTATAAAGTACTGAGATTCCGTAGGTTATGGAGGTGTTTTAGATATTATACTTACCTTCCGGGTAAAATACATGTTCTTGTACGTAACAATATCCCTATTGCTGATGAGTGAATGCATGGCTAAGGTCATGTTAGTTTAGCTAATTACCCGGAGAGAAGTCACGCTGTTTGTCCCAGACTCAATTATGAAGATGAGAACCTATGATATTTGTTGAAAGTTAAAAGCAGCTGTATAAGGAATATTTTATTCGTACCTTAAATGATCCTCAAGATGTGGTTTCTTGTCATACAAAACTTGTATATAGATAATTCTTTGTGCACACTACTATTGACCTCACTAAGAATTATAATTTATTCTTACTTAAAGAACAATTTTCAAAATACATTTTTATGAAATTTTTTTCTCCGTAGGACCATCGGTTTCAATAAAATCTTAGTTTTGAATTTTAACGAGAAGCTTTGTCGATGTCAAGGTCTCACTAAAACTAAAATTAGTTTATGTCCGAAATTTCTTAAGTTTTGAATTTCTCTGCAGTGAATTCGAAACTGAAACTAAAATGAAAATCATGATCTGAGAAGGAGAAATTCGATAGGAATTCAAAATCTCCGCAAAAAGCTTGAAAAGAACATGAACAACTTTAGAAATTGTTCTATAAGTTAGAATAAGTTCTATTTCTTACTGATTCTAATCTTCATATACCAAAAACTTTGATGTGTCACATTTGTTACTAAGAAAAATAACTAACTTGATCCATGAACACAGCGTAAAACTATTGCATTTTTACATTGTAAAGATATTTATTCAACATACTGTATTTGACTGTTAGAACACTACTTCTTGTAAATTGTTTTCTTTTTTTCGATAAACCATTGAGAGAATGATGTGTCTTACCAAAAATTCATCTCGGTTATTGATTTTCCAAAAATTATCCGATTTAGTAGTCTTTGCTTACAACCGTTCATATTGTACGCAAAAGTCAAAAATATAGTTCGAAATTCATACTTATTCTCAAATAGAGAAGAATTGTACTCTTCAGAACAATCACTGTATTTAACGGTTTTTCCTTGAAGATCGAATGCTTTTAGTTGTAGACAGTATCTTCTTTTATTTAAAAATAGTAGTTTTCATTTTTGTTTATCAAAAACGTGACAATGAATTTATCGAAACTATAGTGTAGATGATTAAGATAGCAAGTGTTCTCTATATGAGACCAAAACCAGAATTTTGATTACGCTCTGAATCGACATGAATAAACTAGACTGCTAGTTTGAATGAAATCAAATCGTCAGAATTTGAATACAAAGTTGTAATTCTTCTATACGAAATACATTATAATGTACAAAGCTGAATATTGTTACTTTCTATTGAAATCAAACCATGGTCAATATTATTCTTCACATTTTGTCAACTTGATAAGTAAAAAATAAACAGAAATCAAAATCAATACAGTTACTTTTTATTTGATAATACATCTGTAACGAAACAATATATTCTATCTATGACACTTGAATCCAACAAATTATAAATAGTTATACAAGACTTGTTTTCTTTTACAATTTCTTTTCTGTATTTTTCACTGAAATAGTTCATCATATGCTGAATCTTCCTAAAAAAACATTTCTATCATGACTACTTAGATAATTATTTCCTACAATGACGTTATTTGTTGAGATAGTATATGATGTAGCTTTATACAGTGATAATTGATACAATCAGCTATGACTAAGATAGAGTGTTCCCTTCTTCTATGCTGTGATCTTGTTCACTCTTTATGTACCAGTGTTGTGAATGAAGGACATTTTTTAAAGTATCTTAATTTTTGAATAACCCGCGTCACTTATGTAGTAAGCTTGATGATTCTTTGAAACATCAGCTCTATTCTACAAAAAAAAAGAAGGAGGGCAGATTATGTTTTCTTTTTGCAGTCCGCAAAATGTCTTGATTTTCTATGTTTGAATCAAATTAAAAACGACTCCTAGTTCCATGAGCAAGTACGGACATGGATCGAAAATGATTTTAAAGACTTTTTCAAAAGTTATGTCACTTAAAAGGTTAAATAAACAAATTATTCGTTGTTCTTGAAAATCAGTCACATTCTGTTTAGTTGTCTTTATTTATATAAATCTTCAAAAATATACATGAAAACGAGAAAAGAACAGTACACATAAACGAAGATTGCTGATTGTTCAGTAAATATTAAACCGTATCAAGTATTTAATTGGACATTTTTAAATTTAGTTTATTCATTAGTCTAATTTTTCGTTTAACATATATATTGTATCGAAAGAGCGACAAGTAATATACATGAAGAGTAGTTATACATCTATATGTTGTTAATGCAATCTTTGTTTTCATTAAGTTGGCCGGCAGAGAGAAAAATATTAAAATGGTATTAAAATGCCTTCAGATATAAATAATTATAATGATGTAAAACTGTCACAAAAAATGTCGAAAAATGCCTTTCAGTTTCGCATTAAAATGTTTACTTTCGGATAAGTGAAAATGATTAGAAAAGATGACATAATAATAATCACCATACAAATCATTTTTTGGCATTATTTATGACCTCTTTTCTTGATAGAAAATTATTGATAAATTTCTTATATTCAAATATTTTTCGAAAAATTTATTTCAATTTAAATGATTTATTACGATTCAAGTGATGTCTCGTTCATCTTCAAAGATGATCTTTTCGATGTCTCATAAAGATTGTACAAATAAATTGATGACAGAAGCAGAACAAAATGAAAGAAAAGCCGAACAGTCTACATATTTCTTTTAGCCCTAATTTCGTAGTGATACGAAAAAGAATTGTTCCTCTCCAATCATTACTATTATCGTCTTGTTTATCGTATCACCATCAAATTCGACTAAAAGAAATATACAGCCTGTTCGACTTTTCTCTCATTTTATTCTGCTTCTGTCATCAATTTATTTATACAATCTTTATGAGATATTGAAAAGATCATCTTTGAAGACGAACGAAACATTGTTTAAATCGTAACAAACCGTTTAAATTGAAATAAATTTGTCGAAGAATATCTGAATAACTGAAACTTATTATTTATGATCTTTCCGGCTAATTATCTTCATTATTCTTTCTCAACAAGAATTTCTAATATTTGCATGAAAATTCACTTAAATCTATTTTTAACGAATGAATCATGCTGTGAGTTTGTTTACTTTCACAATGTTAGTAGTGTGTGACATCTGAGTATAGGTTGAATAGAGTAAAAATTCTGGAAGTCATTTAAAATCAGAGAAAAATCAAATTAGATAGCAGTTTTTTTCCAATTCAAATGGAATAACATTGAGAATTAGATCCTACGTTTAAGTTATATAGAGTACGTGACGATATTTAGGGTATACTCATATGTCAATCATAATATAAAATCTTCCTCTTAATTTTATTTCAAACTAAAATTAAAGAGATAGAGTACCGTCCTTCTTGGACAGAAAAATATATAACATTATGGGTTAAGATGGAATACTCTAGCATATTTCACAAGCCATTGAGCATTTCTGAGTGAATATTCTGGACAGAAAAAATATTCAGAAAAATCTGGGTTGTTAAAAATGAGAAGATATTTTTCTTAATTACTATTATTTAGACTCGTCAAGAGTATTCCTAGTCACGTTAGATATAGACACGATAGTTATGTTATAATTGACGCATCAAACTATCTTAGGGTGTTGGTGGGTGAGTCTTGTCACTCACACTCACACCTCACACCCTATTTCTTCTTTTCGATACGTGTCTTTCGATTTTTCTTTCTATATTCTTTTTTGGACATTCTCAGGCGGAGAACTGCGGGTCGATTCTCGCAGAAAAAACATCAGAAATCAATGAAATACTGCCTTCATGTTCCATTGATTTCCGATATTTTCCTACGGGAACCGGTGGCTTTTCAATGTCTTTCCTGTCGGCTCCTATAGTATCCCATCATCGGAACGATTGATCTGAGTTTTTCCTTTCGACTTATTTCTTTGCTTCCTTTTTTCATCATATCCTCATTCACACCCACACTTGGTTTTGAATTATTTTTTGTTATGAACAAATAGCTTGAACAATACATCTCCGTTTAAGTCATTTGACAGTAAAAATCGTGCTAACAATAAGACATTGTTTCTCCAACTGTCTCGAAATATAACGGGTGGGCCATAAAGAATGTATTCTACCACTTTTTCAATATGTTTTTTGTATTTCTTATCGAATCGAATTGAAATTTTTTCAAAAGATTCAGCATTTAATGCGCAAGAAAACTGTACATAAACATATTCCATTTATTTTAAAGGAAAAGCGTTAGCGAAGCATTATTAGGAGCATGCTACTTCAACTAATTTCAAAGGCACTACCAAGAAACAAACTAGAATTAAGTATCCTTCTTGAATCTGTTTGAATTTGCATAGTTTTTTACAGAACTTCTATTCACATGATTTGGCGTTTAAAGCTCTGCAAGTTCAAAAGTAACTTGCTTTTACTGTGATAAAGGAAGGCAATATCACTCTTCAGTGCTTCGGTGAATGTGTCATATAGATGTCGAACTCTGATTTCCTATTTTGAGGTGCTTTCATGGGAGCTTTCTGTGGAAGTTTCGATGAATTCTATTCTTCATTTAGTAGAACTTCAAAAACTCTCTCCTATATGTTGAAGAATTTTCACCATGAAACTTTGTTGTATCAAAAATGC